AGCCCGGGTCCCGCAGCCGGGAGGGAGGGTCCCGGCCCGGCGTGCGGTAACACGCAGCCGTTTGTTGCAGGTCCGCAGCCGCAGCGAGGATGAGCACGAGCTTCTTCCAGATCTTGAAGGCAAAGAAAGAAGTAAGTTTGTTCGTGGGTTCTGCGGCAACCCCCGTCAGCGAGGGGATGCCGGCTGGGTCAGCAGGGGGAACGGGGGGGGCCGTTTTTCAGAGAGGACACGGTGGTAGCAAGGGACGTGTGTGTCAGTTGAAATTCGTGCGTTGCGAGTGGGGCGGTGTGAACGGTCTGTAATACAGAGAGAACACACCTTAACAGGTACTCGCACCTTCATTCCTCGTAACTCGCGCTCCCCGTTCTTGGCTCTGTAGCCAGGGCACTAGTTCTCAAGCTCTTTTCTCCGTTTTATGTCTTTCAGCTCATTCCCCTGGTTGGAGTCGTGTCCTTCGCAGCAGTTGGGGCGCTCTCTTTTTCTGTCTATTCCCTGTTCAGCAAATCTGATGTCATGTAAGCAAAATACTTTCTGCTTTGAGTTTACCCTAAAATCTTTTTGTTCAACAGAGGTATTTGACCATACTGTTTCACACCAAAAAAAAACACCCATGTGGATGTTCCACACTACTAGTAATAACTAAGATACCTGCAGATTGTAAATACTGAAGAAACTAAGTCATTTGTAGTGTAGTCAAAATTATTTCCCAGCTTTCGATTTAATAGATTATATTTTTTCTTTGCTTTAGGCGTAATAGGTGTTAAATGTTATGAAGAATTTCTAATAACCAGCTAGGTAGACAACATGCAGATGTGTCGCAACCAGGCTATTGACTTGTGTATAAAGAACAGCATTTGATAACATGAACTTGGAATAAGTTAATATTTTAATGGTTTGACTAACAATTGGAGCTAAGTCCTATACTTTTTAACTCTTGGGAATTTTTGTATTTATTTTAAAGTCATTGGAATAGACATTTTAGCTGTCAGAGTAAGAATCCTCTTACTTTTTATCTGTGTCTTTACTCAGTTTTGATTTTTCAGCTTGCTTCCCTTATGATAACATGTTATACTTGAACAATGTTAGCTTGTTTGGTTCTTCGGAAGCTGCAAATAAAGCAAGCCATCATTGATTCCTACCCAGAATTTAAAGTAAAAATGCCCAAACATGTAAACTTGTCTTTCAGGAAACTACTTACTTACATTAATAGTTCTACTGACGGTAGACTGCTCATATAAGAAAAATGTATACAAGATCACGCCCTAAAACATAGTACCTGTTTTGCTTTATCTTCTCTCAAAGCATTAACAAGAGTGGCAATCCAGAACCATGGGAAACTGTTGATCCTACCAAGCCTCAGAAGGTAATTTGTACAAATTAAATAGTCGTACAAATAGCATATATTTCCAATACAATAATTTTATTTAAATGTGTAAGAACTAACAATATATTAATGAGGAAAAAAATAAAAGCTGACATACATCTAGTTAAAAATGGAACTAACTGCTTAGTTCATTACTCTCTGTAAAATATCTTCCCTGTACTAATTAATGTTAGGGATTCCATTATTGCATTCTAGGTCTGATCCTGAATTCGTGGCATACTTCCAATTGGTGTTTCTCCCCCTACGTGCATTTACTCAATTCCATTGATAACAGTGGAAATTTGAAGTGTAGAGGAAATGCCGTGTACTCTTGCCTTGTTCCTGAAGGACAAAATTGACTTAAGAATGTTTTTGAGTACTGCAGCCTGAAGGGAAAAAAATTTAGTTCAGTAGAGCATCTAGGATAAGGAAAAATAAAATTATTTGGCATTACTGCTTACTTAATATCCAAGTGATTTTGTTCAATAAATTATTAAATATGCGATCAGTTGCTGTTTTTGTTTACTTCTGAAAGGAAAATATAAAGCTACTAGAAATCCTTCACCAATAAGTTGATGTATGATATGGGCAGGGGTGGGAGTGGAGTAAATGCTCACTGACATTTTGCTAATTACTTTCATATTTTCCTTTGAATTTCTTCCAGCTATTAACAGTTCATCAGAAATGGAAACCTATAGAAGAGCTGGAAAATGTCAGAAAGCTTACGAAGTCATGAGTGTCTGTTGCCTCAAAAAGGTACCCTATGAATCTAGTGGAATCACTTCCGCACAAACTTGACTACTGAAATCAGTGTGCGGAAATGCTTCTGCTACATTTTTAGGGTCTCCCTACATTTTTTGGACTCTGGATGAGGAGTTTCATGTTGCCTTAGAAGTTGGCATACAACATCCACACAGTCCAAAAATCTGTCTCAAATATTCATTTTCGGTAGGCATTTGATGTCAAATGTTGACTATTCATATGGTTATTATAGCTGGAAAAAGCCTTCACACTTCTTGTAGAATTTTGTTTTTCTCAAAATACATTAATTTTGTAATTTTATATATTTTTAATAAAATAAATTTTAATTTTTTACAACATTGCATGTCAATTCCATAAATGGAGGTTATCTAAAAGCCCTTCTAAATTGGAGTTCCTGGCTATACTGTATTTCAATGCTGTATACAGACCAAATAGTCATTATACCCAGACGATGTCTTTGTATGACAACATAGATGGTCATAAAGTATACTTGTATTCATTTTCTATGTTAGATGTGATGTCAATTTAAGTCAAAACTAATGTTCTACTGCTAAGACTTAACACATACACTCACCTTAACCCACTGAGGAGTCCAATAGGTTATTTAAGGGTATATTTTTAGACTGCAGGATTAGAACATAAGTTAAGCATGGCTAAAAGGGAATTGGAAATGAGATAATTTCTGATGTATTTAAATATTGTTCATGTTTAAATTTAGAAAAATTACTAGAATTAGGAAACTTATATTATCCAAAAGTAATTACATAATGTTAATTTCTTCTTTTTGTGCAAGGTAGTTCGTGCACAAGCTCAAACGTACTGCGCAGTTGGCAATATAAATGTTTCTACATACATGATATTAGGGACATCTGCTTTAACAAAGAGAAAATAACAGATTAAAATTAGGAACGACTCTATGATGCAACAGTTCCTTTTTAAGCATCTGTGTGTTTTCTTATGGGTTGGTCAGGAAAAGAATGTAATGGGCTGACCCCCAGTAAATTACTGAGGTAGTATATGGTAGAATAGTCTTTTGTGGATATTTTCTGTATATGTCCCCTTCCGAGCAGTTGCACAATACAGTTTCTTCTGCAATGAGTGTTGCATACAACAAAGAATGCATACAACTTTCTGTGAGGAAGAAAGCAAAAGTGAAACAACTGCTAATTGGGAATAAGTCCCAGTAAATGAGTAATAGTGAAGTGCTTTAGGTTACTCTGCTGCAGCAAAGACAAAACTTAGGTTAGTAAAGCTGTCTCGTAAATTTTAAGGTAGCTTGATTTCAGAAGCTTTATATTTTCTTCAGATTTATTGATGCTGAGGAAAAAAAACAGTTAAAATGTTATTTTATCGCATACATGTGTGCAGATGCAGCGTAAATATTTGTTTATCAAGTACGAATGACTCAGCAGCATTTATGTTAAGAGTTAGAGGAACTGTAAGACTTCAGAATACAGTCTTAGCTTTCATTTTAAGGAATGACATTACAAGATGATTCAATAGCATGTAACCACAAAAATTCACTTCTCTGAGGAATAAAAGTTTTAAATATTTTAATAGAAAAATATGTTAAAATATTTTCTGTAAGTTGTTCTGTATTTCCTTATTTTTACTGGACTGTATCAAACAAACCAAAAAAAAAGTGCTTTGCTCTGAGTTGATGCATAAATTAAATGAATTTGTTCTTCAGTAAATCAGTTGTATGGTCTGTAAATACTATGACCTAAAGTATCTGTCAACATCAGGGAAGTAAGTGTAAGTCATTTTAATGTAATTTTTGTACTTAACTACTTTTCAGTGGTGTATTCCAGTAGCACATTAAGCAGTGTGACTGCTGTCAGTCACAGCTTGTTGCTTCTCTCATCCTATGCTGAAGCATAATAGCAAAGGTAATAGAATGTCTTGCTTTGTTAGCTGATCTTGTTTTTTTTAGTATAGATTTGTCGGGAGGGTATTCACATAATGTGAGAAATCAAAATATTTTTCATCACTTCAAAAGGATTATGAGTATTGTTAAAGTTCTTGGGACAATTTTGTGTCTTCTCAGACTGTCTCTAAAAATATTCTGTCTCCTGCACAGATGAGTTTTTTCTTTTAAGTAGAGCACTTACAAGAGCAATTACAGTATCTCCCGCGCAACTACTTAACACAAATCTATAAAGCAATATACAAATTATTTCCTTGTTCTACAGACATCAGAGTTAAGACAGTAAAGATTTAATTGGCTGAATTTTATGTGCTTTTACGGGAACAGCAAGACTTCCATGTCCTGTGTTACACAAACTCACAACTTTTTATTCCATGGACAATTTAGAGGCTGTTGAAATTAATTTAACGTTCTTCATTCTGTTCTCTCCATCTTGTCTCCTACTCCATTCTGTTCTTGGTTTTGGTTTTGTTTTTTAAAACAATCACTGTCTTTACTCACTCTGTCTAGTACTTTTCCATGAAACTGTATCACTTTCAACTTACATATTAATTACAAAGTATAATTAAAGTGCTTTCTGCCTTTTTAGATTTTCAACTATAGATTAGAAGCGCATCAGAGTCTACAGTCATGCTTTTCTAACTGCATATGGGTGATAAGTAGTCTATTTGTAGTTTCCTAGAAGAACAGAAGGTTGCTTTCTGCAGTATACATGCAATTATTAATTAATTACTAATTTTTGTTACTACAATACTAGTTAAGGGCCTTAACCACAATGATACAAGATCTGTGGTTATTCAAGAGCTGTGTTGAGTTTTTCATTTGGTTTTCTTTACATATGATAGACCCAGTGTTAGCATTGCTCTCTCTGATGTCCCCTACCCCTTGCATTTCTCTACTGCGAGATGCTATTAGTATAGTGCTGTACTATCTAGTTACTTCATTGGTGCATGTGGTTTCTGTAGAAAATAGAAACTTACAGAGAGGCCTGATGCAATCCTGAAAGGAACTTGTTCATCCTGCAGTTGTCATCTGTCTTAGTGCAGAGGGTGGTTGTCCCCAGGACTAGCTGTAGAAAATAAACAAGAGTAATGGGAATGATTCACTGAATCTGGCCAATATTTGGTGTTGGACGTTTCCCAAAAAAGCTTTCAGATTAAACAAACATGGCCATGCTACTCAGCACAGTTTTAATTTGCTGTCTGAGGTCTTCGCTGCTTCCCCATACAGGGAGTGCACAAGATAACGAGATCACCTAGAAGTGTAAATGAAATGGAAATAAAAAAGCCTTAGTGAGGAACTGGACTCGGGGCACTGCAGTTGGACAAAGTAACTATTGACTTTCAGGTGCTGATGCGAATAGAGAGCAGACAGATTGTTTGCTGAAAGCTGTCTCCTGTCATAAAGAGCCACCACTAATTGCACCCTTCAAAGGAAGCCCGAAGACCCAGTCCAAAGAGCTGTTCTCCTGTGGTACCTCACCCCGAGCAAAGACCACAGTGCACTTCATGGAGGCTTTATCAACCCTTTTTATGCTGCACCTTGACCTGATGACCAAAGGGTTTTGGTTTAATTAGCTTTTACTTTTAGATAACCTTGTTACGTGTATGTTCTGGCCACAACTCTTAATGGGGATGCGGTGTCCTTCTACAGGGCTCACGAGGGAACCGCGGTCCCTCAGAGCCCCTCACACAACACGGACAGCCCGGCGGCTGGGACAAATTAACCCATTACGAGTGAAAAGCCACCCCGCAGCCCTTACCGCTGCGCTGCGGGCCCCCTGACCGCTGCCGCCCGTGGCGGCTGTGAGGCGGCCCGCGGGGCCGCTGGGCTTTTCCCCCCC